CCTAACTCCTATTTGCTTGACTTTGTTTGATTTAGATTCCTAAATGAGATGCCTATTGCTCAAAAAGTCTTTAAAATGCTATTTTTCTGACGATATAGCTTCAATTTTAGATTTTCAAATATTGAAATATTTAAGATTCGGAGCCCTAAATAATTCGGGATTAGGGTGAGATTAGGGGCCGTGAAACATCGTTKTCTACACTCGAATTTGGAATTCTTTACAAGTTTATCAAAGTTAAGAGCCCTACACGTTATAATCTTATGTCAGTATAGAAATTCGTTGCGTTTAACTACCCATTATYAATGACTAAAGATGGCGAATTTACCAAGGATTAGTATGCAGCATTGTTAAGTTTGTCTGAGTTCTCGACGGGGTGCAAGGTGTGTRACGTCATCTGTGCGGAGCGCTATTAACATAAATTTTTAAAATTTAGAATTTTAGTCAAAGTAAACTAACAGCTGATAGGAACCTGTGCTAATAACAACATGTAGAMGTTTGAAATGAAAATATTTAATTCTGGTGAAGTTATTAGGATTTAAAATATATCATAACACCAGAACGAGGCTATAAAGGCCTTGGCTGAAAATTACATATTACATTTCTTGTATTTTCATTTCGCCATAAATTTGTTCGCATTTTATCCAGGGCTGTAAAACATTCCAAAAATGTTTATTTCTGATAGTTCATTCACATGACAGTGACAGAGTTTTCAGATATTCCATATTCAGAAACAAATAGACAGACAGCCATTGGTGGAAAATTACATACATTTCTTTGTATTTTCATTTCACCATGACTTTTTTCCTTTTTTTTCCAGAGTTCTAAAACGTTCCAAAAACGTTTATTTCTGATAGTTCYTTGATGTTACAGTGACAAAATATTCATATCTATTTTATTTTGGAAAAACACAATTGCAGCCATTATGATAATCATAAAGGTGTATAACTTAATAAATTGTCTCACAAAATAGCCTGAGTAGGGGCTAAAAATCAACAAAAACAATGAAAACATGCAAAATTGTGCCAAATTATAAATTCAAACACATGTGAGCATGCGTTGCCTTTTCAGTATATGGAACATAAAGTCCCACTCGTATGAGAGCTAAAGTTTATCATAAGACTCGATACTAAATCCGATAATTTCTAAATGGGTGCTGGATCTTTGTAAGTACTGATAAATAGTTTTCTTAAAAACTCTTTCAGTCCGGCAAGCCACTCTGTCTGTTTTGAAGCAGTCAGCAATATTTTAAACTAGACGCTTGTTAAGTGTGATGCGGGCTAGCTTAGCAAAAGATGTTCAATACAAGATAAAATTTGTATCTCCAATGAATATTGTGACTATGACGTAACTATATATGAAAGTAAAATATGCCATAGAATACCTTAGATTTGTTTGCAGTTCAATTCTAATTGTGCACTGCAATATTCTTTTCTGGCAACTAATCGTTAACCTTCACTGTCTGCTTTAATCTTATCATACATGTATATCAACTATCAACCATAATCTTTTTGCTATAGTGATTTTCCTAAATTTGCAATGTATTTTGTAATAATATTTATGGAAGCTCTTTACTTCTTGGTTAGCGATATCACATTTATTATTATTAACATAGCAATGCATTTTAGATGGCATGGGTGCATTCTTTAAATTTGTGTTTTTAATAGCCTTTCTTTCGTACAAAAGAAATCTAAAAATTGAAGCAAAACAAAGTTCAATTTCAAAACTTGTTCTTTTTTTCATTTTCAAAGTTTCCAAGTTAAAATACACTAATTCGTATAGTCTCTGTTTATTTTTTGATAAAAACCATATAGCTTAGTTTTGCATGAAATAATAAATTCAACTTCTATTTAGAATTTCCATGTGAATGGGCTTGTCAAATTACTTTCACACTATGTGATAATTCTTAAAGTGCAACTGAACCATTTTAGAAAATCATTTTTAACAAAAGGCAAATATGATGCTAATCATTGCCTTGAGGAAAAAAATTGTTTGAATTTTATTTTCGGAGTTAAAGACATTTGAAAACTGAAAATGCTGATGAAGTGACGTCAATCAAGGAATTGGGCTGGATGTTTTTCATTGTTTACAATATCTTGTGTTCGGTTGAAATGGTCAAATCATCAATAATAGTAATGTTCAAGAGCTGGAAAAGTCATCTCCGATTTAAAAAAAGAGTAATGTATATTTTTATCGTGATTTTGAATATTAAATCATTGCTTAGTAGACATCACTTAATTTGCATTTCCGATTTTCAAATATTTCTAAATCAAAAGATATAAATGTTTTTTCCCTTTGCAGGAGTGCTTAGGATAATGTTCTCTTTTGAACRAAATGACTTTCTAGTAGGGTTCAGTTGCACTTTAAATAATTAACAAATGGTCCTGAATAACAATACATTTGCAGATAAGGACACTTATACAGTACACTTATACATTCACTCATATATCACTTTATAGGAAGTTTACATATAGGATTGAAAGGATTATTTTAGTCACAGTTCTTTATGATACATACCATCCTTGCAGTAGATGTACAATAACTATATATAATTACTTGAATGAATACATATCAATCAATGACTAAGCTCTTCCATGCTTATATTTCTATTGTGGTCTACATGTACATCTCCCAGTATATACTGAGACACATGGACTTTTTTAATATTTCTTACAAATAAAAAAAAAAGAATGGTGAGCTTCAGGCCTAATTATGRTATCAAATTGCAATTTAATTAGAGAATACTTTATGTGTTTTAGTGAGCTTTTTAAAAGGCGATTTAGTGCAAGGTTCTGGAGCACTTATGGTAATTTCCTCTATAAAACAACTAAAATAACAAGCATATGAAGGAATGAATCATGCAAAAGACTTCGCTTTTGCGCCTAGTTCCCGCCAGACTTCATGCAGACAAATTCCTGGGTGTATGTCACTCTCGGTCCTTGTCTCTTGGAATGAAGCGACATTGGTGAGGCAATTAACTGCACAAGTTAGGATGCAATTAAAAATCAGTGATTTATCCAAATCCATTTTTTCCGCAGAAAATATAAATATTATGTAACTTTAAAGTTTTAAATTTCATGTAAATATTATGTAAGTGTCCAAAATCATGCAAATATTACTTAAATCATTTACATCATTTTTACATCAAATTTACAGCACGGTTTTTCCAGTGATTATCAGTACAGAAATATTCTATAAGCTATTACAAACTCGCTACACTAAAGATTAGCATGATTGGTGCAGTTACTTACGCTTTCTATGTTCTAATTTCATAGATTTCAAGGCTATCTCAAGTAACTCTTCTTTGCCAGTGCAAATTCAAACTGTTATTTGTTTTGAGTTTGTTGACATTGCTGTTAGTGCTGAGTTACCAGTACTTTTCCATTGCTGGTCTTGCTAATACAAACACCGAGTATGRTAAACATATRAAATCACAATGGTTATATGAAAGACCATTGCCCAAGAACGTACATCAAAACGTCAAGTCTTGGTATAGGATCATTGCAGAAAATACCGAGCGAAATAACTTTTGGAAATCAGTATGGATATATGAAAGACCATTGTCCAAGGCATTACTTCAAGATATAAAAGCATGGGATATGGATGCATCACTACATGTCTTCTGTGGCACTTTTGCTTGTGTAAAAGATTTGGCAAACACCAATCGAATTACAGCCTCATTTCTGGTAATTAGTACACTAATTAATAATACTGTTTTTGATACCTGGTTTAGAAGGCATCCTTTGAATAAAATCCTTGAAGAAGAGAACTTTGAGGATCATTTGCAGCAAGTAGTGGCATTGACTTTGATCTTCCGCAAAGGTGGTACATATTTTGATCCAAGACTGAAAAAGGAACTATTGCACACTTTACCTGCTAACACAACATGCATTGCCGTTGCATCTAGCACCAATTTGCCCAGTATCGTGGGGCTATTCAACTTTCCCAAGGAGCATCCATTAATTTGGAAGATCGGAGAAGTAATGTTAAATCAGTATAAAAGAGATGCTGACGACGTAAAAAAATGGCCWATCAGGTTTAATTTTAGAGAGATATCTTCGATTGCCTGCAAATCATATCCTGATATTTGCGCAAAAATTATCGACCTTGATAGTAAACACTTCTATATGGAAACTCCCAATATTGAGAATAGTTTTGGTACATTATCTTACGATGCCAGAGTTCGTGTTGCTGGTGATGCGAATCTCGGCGATGAGATCCAGGGATTTCCAGGATTGCAATTTCTCCCTTTCATGAACGAGTTTGTTGAAACAGATCAACTTCACTCTACTAACAAAAAAAAGAACATTACCACATTTTTCAACGCTTGGTGGGGTTCTCCCTCACAACAATGGCCACCACCAATGCACATTGACCCCATAATGTTATCCATGCACTTAGGAAATTCCATCAAGCCTATGATAACGAACAATTTACCTTATCTTAAAGGGAAATCGCCCATTGGATGTCGTGACCCAGCTACCCTCGAGTTTCTTAGAAGTCAAGGAGTGGAGGCATTTTATTCAAGTTGTATGACTCTAATGATGAAAAATCCCAGCAAARGYGCTGAAAGAACTGACAACATTTATTTGGTGGACGTCAACGATGCGGTAAGAAAGCTGCTACCATCGGRGATTCAACAAAAAGGCATTTCATTGGAGCATAACGTGAAAGGAGAATCGCGTTTAAATAAATTGGCTAGATTTAGATCAGCTTACAGCTTAATTGAAAACTATGCTCGAGCAAAGTTAGTTGTAACGCAGCGCATCCACTGTGCATTACCATGTGTTGCCATGGGAACACCAGTCATATTCATTAATTCTACCAGCATGCCTGGTGGTGGCGGTACAAAGAGGAAGAGCTCGCCACAAACTGAAGGATTCCAGGAACTCTTCCACATGCTGGATTTGTACAAAATGTCAAGTAATGACGCCAAAAAGTGGCTACAAAACTTTGATTGGAGCAATCCTCGCCCTCTTTCGTCTTCTTCAAGTCTTCTGAAAAGGTTAAGGGCAACATCATGGAATATAATTCGTCGGAAAAGAAAATTGCACGAGTCTGCGTTGAAATTCGGTATCATTCCTTACCATAATTCTCTTCTTAAGGAGGACAAAAATAAGCAAGATTTGTTTCATCTGATATTCACTACTCGTGAAGCTCAAGTTGTTGAAGTATTCTCTGATAAAAGTAAAGTTTCAGCTCGATTCAACTGGCGACACTGGCGTTGCATCGAGTCGATCTTTTATCATCATCCACTTGCAAAAGTACTAGTACACAGCAATACATTACCACTTGCAATGTTTGAAGTTCTTGAGGAATCTGGATATGATATCGAAGTCCGAAGATATAACTTATGGGACATAGTCAAAGGCACCCCCGCCGAAAATTTTATGAAAGAAAAGTATAAGAAAGTTAGAAATGGTAAGTTCTGGTACAGCCATGAGACTGATCTTCTGCGMACAGCCATACTTTATAAAATGGGTGGTGTGTACATGGATACCGACGTTATACTGGTGCGATCTCTTAGAAAGTTACCCATCAATGTTGTGGGATATGAAGTTGATGGGAGAATGATGAACGGAGCATTCATGTATTTTGAGAAAAATCATCGATTTTTATTTGAAATTTTGAGGCATTTTAATCAAGAATACAGGCCAAATGGGTGGGGAAATGTTGGTCCTATTCTTATTACCAAGTTAAATCCTTCTGCTCATTACAATGTCACTGTTCTAGATCATTATGCATTCTACATGTTCCACTATTTCAAGGTACTTTATGAATGTTTTCAGCAAACAAATGGAGCAACGTTTAGAGAAAACAACGAGATTTTGAGAGAAAAAGCTTTTGGTGTTCACCTATTTTCTAAGTACAGCGGGAAAATTGGTTTGAAAAAGAAATTGAAAGAGGGAACAATATGTAAAAAACTATTCAACGCGTATTGCATTTTGTGTGACAAACGATATTAGATCAGGTTCAAAACAGCACGAAATCGCAAATTTCCGCTTCCTTTGTGAGGTCAGAAAAAATGCATAAAGAAGTGTTTTGAGAAAACATTTCCCTTTTTACGTTTACTTTACTCTCATTAATATTCATACAAGGCAATAAACAATAGAAATCATAGCCAATGAAGAGAATTGTATATTACATCACTGGAAAAAATCGCGCGCTTCGAACCCTGTATATACGGCCTAAGGATAATTATCAATCATGTCCTCATTTTATAAGATTATATTATTGTATAAGTCAGTGATTTCTCTAGTTATACCGTTCGTTTTTTGAAATCGGTCAATCCATAATTATCGTTTGATTTTGAAAAAAATGTCTAAACAAGCGATGTTAACCAAAATATATGTTGCTAGTTATAGTTTACTTGTTATTCAGTCATCGTATATATAAGATGGTTATCATCGCACTATGAGAAGTAGCCATGGTGGCAGCATTTAACATAGCAAGTGTAACGTTAAGAGCTCCTCGTACACTTTTTTGAACACAAAACATTGAAAAAGTCAATTTGAAATTAACTTATAAAAGATTATTTCCATAGATACATAGTTGGAGTAAAAAAAAGAMTCACCGCGGATTCCGGAGTCTCACATCCGCCTTTTATAAATATTAATGCTGCTGATGTATACACCTACTTGCAGAAACGTTGTCATAGAAAATAGAACATTTGAATTTAGTAAAAAGGAATACATTAAAACAAGACAAAAGAGAGCGTTCAGCCTCAGTGGTCTTCTTTTKTCTTTTTTTMTTTTTTMTTTTTTCATTTTTATTTTAATACAAATGTCCTATTTTCTATGACAACGTTTTCGCAAGTAGGTGTATATCTAATGCAGATTTTATAGTCTATACGCATGTGATTTGTTAGATTGCAAGTGGAATGACTTTAATTAGGCTCAAAATCGGTCAAGCTAATTCCGCAGAGGAAAATAAAAGTATCCATGATAATTCTACATTTTCATTTGATAACAAGGAAAGCTRTTTTTCTAGTGTTTTGTGCATTCAGTACAGATGTAATTTATGGAGACTTCATGATTTTGGTAGAAAACGYGGTAGCATTTGTCATGCAATTGTTTTCTCTTAGCTACTGTGCAATAATTATCAGGAGGTGAGGAGGTAGGAGGGAGGTTAAGAATGCAAAGCCCACGGGAACTCATAATTATGACACTCCAAAATTTGACACAACTGTTTGAAATTCGAATATGTTGATAAAAAAATATAAAACRATATATCTAAAAAAAGGTAGATGCGACTATTCGTTGTTAAGTGGACAGCTGAAGGCTTGTGCAAGATATGGAATACGTTCTACACAATGCACAATACCAGAAGTACATAACATTATTATGTACTTCTGACAATTAATAACGTGGAATTCAAATTTAATTCGATCATCGACTAAWCAAACCGCATAGCTGGAGATTTCCAAATTTATATTGGAAGACGTGGAGTCTCGTCAAAATACTCCGAGAAATATATCTTATAACTTGGAACTTTTATACAAGTTTATAAGCAATTTCGAAACGATTTCTCCGGCGTAAGAGGCGAAAACTGACAAATACTAAGCCTATTTTTAACCAGAATCATGGAGTTTTTTCCATAAATTACGTCCAAAAAATGCTGGAAAAGTCTAGATAAACACCTTTCCTAGTTCAAAAAAGGGGAAGAATTACAATAAATATATCTTTCCTTTTTTCACGGATTTACTGAATTCTGTAATAAAATTATTTCAATAGACCTTTCCGATTTAGCGGAATTTGAATCCGAAATTCCGAGCGCTAACAATACAAATTGATAATCGCTTTACATCTGCATAATCGCTTTACATTAGTGACTTTAAATTTAACAAATGTCCGATCTATTTCCATGTAAATGAATAAATTCGATTTTTACAGATGTGATTGTTATTCAACACATCTTTAGAAAAAAGAAAAAATAAGATAATTCGTGCAATAAAGCACGAATAGAATGCACTCAGCTGAGAGAAACAAAAGAAGAAATAGTGGAATAAAAGAAGAAATGAAAAGTAAGGCAACAAACAGCCAAGGATATACACAAAATAAACGAAAAGATGATTGATTTTATTCTGTTCACTCTTGATAAACGTGCAGTTCGTGATACAGGGATAGAAAACATCCCTGTATCAAATTAAGAAATTAAAATTTTATTTACATAATACGCAATCATATCATGCCGATAACATTTGTAGTATAAATATCGATTGATGATAAGATAAGGATATTGTGACACAATTTGGAATTATTAAATTATTAATTCAAAGATAGCAACAAGAACAAAAGTGATAATAACAAGGATTTTAACGAAGTTCTTCGGAAATTTACAAAGACTATTTTACCTAATGTTGGTAGAATGATACCTAGCAATCATGATAAGGAGAAGGATAAATAAATGCTTTGAAGAAAATATTATAGACACTTTTAAAAAGACAAAATCCTGACTCGTGCTTCTTTTCAGTATAAAACTCACCCTAAATCAAGCATTACAATTTAAAACCATCTGAATCAACGACGACTTGCTAAGTGATAGTGAAATGTCATTTCTTGTCACCAGGGTAGAACTGTGCCCGAAAAGAGGACCAGAACTGAGGACGATGTATTCGATGAATTGTGCCGTCTATCATTATTAAAACGTTCGGGAAATCCTGAAAAGTTCCAAGAAAACTTTGCCATTTCTGAAGAGTATGCGACGTAATGTAGTGCTTGTATCTCGAAAACAATTTTGGAACAATGTGTTATATTTCTTCCGCAACTGTACTTTTTGAAATATCGAAGATAAAAGCAAGAGTATGCAGTTTTAAAYATTGTCTCAGTCAAACAAATACCAACAACGTTCGATTTCTTACGTCCAGAATACAGCGACGTCTTATAATTGTTGTTTGGGTCCTCGGAAGGTGTCTTGGTGTTGTGACGCCCAGATAAATAATGTTGTATCAAGTAATATTATTACTAGAATAGCACAACTGAAAAAGCATCGCATGGTGGGCCTGATCATGTAAAACAGAGCCTTGCTTCGTAAAACGGGCTGTTTTTTTTTGTTCTAAATAGTTTCCCTAGGGAGCAAAATCAGCAGCATTTTTCAGATGGTAAAACGTGTTAACGAAGAAAACTGTGTGAACTAATGTGTCAATAGCAATCAATGATCGCTGATTTCGAATGAAAAGCGGCATGCAAAATTGGATCAGACCAATGCGATAAATCCGTGTACGCGATTGTGATTTTACATATTATTTCATGAAGTGTCCCTTCTGGATCACACCAGCAAGGGATGACTAATGATTCACTTGGTATAAATTGAACTCAAAACGGTCGCTCAAAGATTTTGTCGCCGTTAGTCCTCGACAACGATGATAATATCTTTCTTCGTGCTGCTTTCGGTGGACAAATTCTGAAACTAACACAGCGGTTATCCGCTTTGAACTTGAAAATGGAGTATTGCAACAGGGGGGCAACGCCCAAATTATTCAATGGAGGGGGTAACATGTATCTTCAATTAGGAGCTAATCACAAAACTCAACAAACCAGTTATGAGCAATGATTTTATAACTTGGTCATTAAAGATGCATTCGGATAGTTTGGAATTTAGTTGCTCAGAATTATAGCAGTTCGAAAAACTGTTAGTTTCACTACCGCAAAACAACACAAACAAACAGGAGCTGTATAGCATAATTATCCTGTTTAGGAGATAAAAGCTAATCCTTTTTCAATCTGCCATTGTTCTAGCATCTCACTTATAGAACAATAAATTCCGCATACGGCCGGAATTCCGCTAAATCGGAAAACTCTAATTCAACTCTAAAACTGAGCTATCAAATGCTGTTTTAAACATATTAATTTTGTTAAAAAAATCCTCGGAACAAACGTAATTTCAATTAATACAACAAGGGAAATGCAATAAAGATCGAAATAGTACTGTTCGACAAGTTTGTATACACAATCACGGCACTGACACTAGTCCCAGACCTAAACATCAGGCATTGTTTTTTTTTTTGTAAAAAATCATCGGAACAACTT